TACAATTCCTTATATAAATCAAATTCATAAAAGGAATCGGGGCAAAGTGTGGAGGGAAAAAACCACCCCAATTACAACACACCACGTGGCGGTGAAAAGTTGCCCACAACCAAATTAAGATAACCAGAAGCCCACAATCAATTGGAGGTCCAACAGAAGAAGCCTTACGTATGTACCAGTTCAACCTAGTTAGAGTGAAGGAAGTTTTACTTAATTTAAAGGCTAAATGGGCGGCCCAATCTTAACAATGCCTGAATTCCATAACGTCTGCCATAATAGTGAATGCACGATCTACAGATGTAATTACCCATGTTTGGGAATAAAAGCCAAAAAACGGCTCCATGTAAATCTTTGAGGAAAAACTTATAAATAGAGCCTGAATGAGAATGAAAAGGCATCGGATTCCCAATACTACTATTCTCTCAAAGATTTATTTGTTCTCTTCTTAATTATTCTGTGTGTTCTCCATAATTTATCTCTTTGGGTGTTCGGATGTGAGAAATTACACCTACACATATTATTTGGATTTGGGTTACATCAATGCCCTAACAGAAGATTTAGCTACTCATGAAGATGGACGATAATATCATTGTTGGTGTAGAAAGCATCTCTATGGACTGCAACTCTTCTTCTTGGGAGCTTCTTATTCAATCTTTAAAGAGAACTCCAAAACCCTAAAAGCCGCCACAAGATCTAAAAATTGCAAAAGTGAAAAAGAGATTTCTTTATGACCTTTCGTTTTCTTCTTTGTTTTTTTTTAGGATAAATTGGCTCATACTCCTTCTTGAATGGGCTTTAGGACTTCTGGGGTCATCTCGAGCTCTACAACATGTGCTCGAGCACAAAAATTTGTGCTCGAGCATTTTTTCATCAATTATTTTCGAAGCGTCTTTTTTTCCAACACTTCGCATTTTTTTTCTGATTTTTTGAATTTGTGTTTGAGCATAAAGATTTGTGCTCGAGTATTTTGGAAAATGCTCAAGCTCTGGGACCTGGAACTTGCGAAGCGTCTTTTCATATTCCCAGGGGAATTTGTGCTCGAACACCAAAATATTTGGCCAAAATTCTCTGGTTTCTTCAAACTGTGTTCAAGCACAAAAGGTCTGTGCTCGAGCTCTAGGACTAGTATTCCTTCGATCACCCAAAAATAGCTTCAGAATAAGCTCGGAAGGTCCGATACATTTCTATCAACTTTGGAAACATTCTTTAAGCTCTAGAATCATGGTTTTGTCCTATTCTTCGGGAAATGATCTACAAAAGACAAATATTTTAAAATAAGTATAAAGACCGAGATAGAGACAATGTTAAGGTACTAACTATGCATGCTGAAGGGCTCAAATATGAAATATTCAACGCTTATCACTTATTTAGTAAACGAGCCTAAAAAATGTGCTCAAGCTCAGCTCATTTACTTAATGAATGAGCCTAAACCGAGCTTTTAATGAGTCAAGCCCGAGCTGTTCATTTGTAGCCCCATCCTCAAGGTTATTTTGGAGAATGTGACAGTTGATTGCACCCATGAGTTAAAAATTTGATTGTTTGGAGTGGGTTGAACGGAGCTTGTCATGCATGCACATGAGCCAAAAAATAATATAATAATAAAAATAAACAAGTTTTTGAGTTTATATATATATATATATATATATATATATATATATATATATATATATATTGAAGGAATGGACAAAAACAAATTATTGTATTATATATATGAATAAATATTTTAAGGACGTGTTACTACTGTTAAGTGGGACTATGGAAATCATTGAAATTTTAGACCTATACTACTATATGCACAATGATCCTAAGTTTGAAGCCCTTCTAAATTGGAACCTAGGCGACTACTTGGGTTGCCTATGCCCAGGCCGGCCCTACATAATAGAGTTGGAAAAGTTTCAAAAGGGATTTTGAGCCAAAGGGTAGGAGTTCCAAACCTTGCTAAATTGTCATTTGTGTTTGATTCCTTCTTCCATTATCTCATTTATATTATGCTTGTTTTGAATATTGTCACTTCTTATTATTACACAATTTAAATAGATATTCATATTGTCTTGCATAATTTTTAAATTAAAAAAGTAGCTATTATTTGCTATATACTTTAGGGATAAAATCATAAAACACTCACTACATTCAAATTTAGATCATAAAACCCTAACATATTTCAGAAAACCCTTATACTTTTAAAAAGTGATCACACTGCCTCAATATCCGCATCCAACCCTTTAACCGAGCCATGAGATGACAAATTTAACCTTACTATTTAATATTAAATTAAAAACTAAAAATTATTTTTAAAATTATAAAAATATCCTTTAAAATTGCATAAATTATGTTTGAGAGAGAGAGAGAGGGGTGAGAGTTTTAGAGAGAGAAAGAGGGTGAAGAAGAAGATTAAAGGATATTTTTATAATTTTAAAAAATAATTTTTGTTTTTATAATGTAACATTAAATAGTAAGGTTAAATTTGTCATTTCATAGCATGGTAACGGTTAGATATGGATATTGAGCAATGTGATCACTTTTTAAAAGTGCAGGGGATTTTTGAAATAGGTTGGGATTTTATGATCAAAATTTAAAAATAGCGAGAATTTTATGATTTTAACCTTGTACTCTCCTTTATTCACCCTTGTGAGTCTTTGAGCAACACATAGTTTACCTTTTAATTCGGAGGGCCCAATAGTTCAGGTTTTTTTTTCAAAACTATTTTGTCTCACTTTACATATATATTTTCAAAACAAATTGAAGTAGGACAAACATATGCAATTAAATATGTGGAACAATCACAGGTGGTTTTACAACAATTTTTGAGTGTCTCCAAAATAAATATTTGGATAAAGCGCAAAAATAACCCCTTAAATTACTGGCCAAAATGCAATTAACAGTACAAAAACTTTAATTAACCCCTGAATTAAGCAATTTGGTTGCTTTTAACCCAGTCCGGTCACCCATAAAAAAAAAAAATTTGATCGTTAATAGGCGCATAAATGACCATTTAATCTTTATGAAATAATTTAGTTTCTCACTTCAAAAAAAAAAACCAAGTGTCCATTAAACCCATTCTTTATTTCTCTCTCTCTCTCTCTCTCTCTCTCTCAAAATCCCCAACTGCCTTTCACACACACACACACACACAAAATAAAAATAAAAATCATGATCAGATTTCTCTCTTTTCTGTGTGCATATATATATATATATATATATATGCACGTGTGATGTGTGTCTTTGTATACATAGTTGAGTACAGAAATTGACGATGGCGATGGCGATGGGGGAGGAAGGCGACCGGCGGTAGCTACGAGTAATCAAAGAGAAGATTATGGCGATGATAGCAATCGGGAAGCTCGCCGAACTGGGTTCACCCACTAGAAAACCCACTCCGTCGGCTAAGTTGTGAAAGAATGTGTATAAATAGGGCAAGATTGCACACAAAAATGAAGTAGTTAAAAATGTCAAGAACAACCCAAAACATTGCTCTGTCATCTCTTTGGTGGTACAAACTCTCTGGTGATGGACCTCAATTGTCAGCAATCCAGTCACTAAACCCCCCATGAATATTTTGTCACTGATCACCAAGAAAACCCAATCGCAAAATCCTTAACCCATAGCCAAACCCATATTATGACAGCCACGTCGACGGGTCTTATCGTCAAAACACCATCACATTCTTCCCACAGCCATCGCCATTTCCATCGCCGATTATCAAGCCCTTTATCGTCGTTACCAAAGTCTAGAGATAGAAAAGGAAAAAGAATTCTTGTTGTTGCCATCGAAATCTCTCACTGTCACCTTCCTCACCAAATCTTTGCCGTAGTTGGGTCTGTTATGCACGTTGGAATTTCGCCCCAAATTGCTTTCCAGTAGGTGATCCTGATGGTGGTGAGGATGTCGACTTTACAGAGGGAGACATCGGTAATCAGTCGGCAGTGGAGTCGCAGCTGATACCGTATCAGTTGGCGCAACAATAGTGCCGGTCTAGGAGTCGAAGATGGGATCCCTTAATACCTAGAATTACTGAGGTGTTGATTTTTTGATGGCCCTTCAAAATTACAATCCTTCATGTCCATTGAGTAAGTTTTATAATATCAAATAATAATGAAATTACGTGGTTTTGTTTAAGGGTATAAATGTCTTTCAACAATTTAGGTAAGAGCAATTGTCCAAAAAAATAATTGCCGTCCTTAATTGCACCAAATTAATAATTCAAAGGGGTATGTTATAGTTCAAGGGGATTATTTGCAAAACGCCAATAGTTGAGGGTTTTTTTAGGTGTGCGTACGGTTTGGTTTGGACCGGTTTGAGATTTTTTAGAACCAAATCAGTCTAACGGTTCTAAAAAATTTGGAACAAAATCGGACCATTTGACCAAAGAAACCGAACGAAACCAAACCGTGAGAAACTAGTTTGGTTTAGTTCGATTCCACGATTCCTGTAACTTTTTTTTCTTCTTAACGAAGAATTAATATCTTAAAATCCAAATGTATAATAATAAACTAGGTTAACCAATATATTCATAACTGTTAATATATTTAGAACTTTTAATTCATTCTTCTATATTATTATTTCTCGAACTAAATTTAATACATTCAAAATTGCTAATAACATAATACATTCAGAATTATTAATTCAATAACTAGCACTTCGCAACAATTTAGAAAAAACAATTTAGAAAACTAACAAAATTCAATTACTGAAAATCAATAATGATAAAAAAAAAAAAAAAAAAACACATGCACCAGCCAGAGTAAGATTATACGGTTTGGCTCGGTCCAAAATAATCTCAAATCGTGATCAAATTATATCTCCACTTTAGAACCGTGAGCAAATCAAATCGTTAACAAACTAATTAATTGAACTGTCCAGTAAAATCTAATCCAATTTGAATTTTCAATTTGAAGGAAATTTTGTGCGCCCTAGGTGTTTTGCGCTCTAATCTAATTTTTTTGCACTTTACCCTAAATATACTTTTAGGGTAGTGTATAGAAATTGATCTAAGGAGATCAAATGGACCTCTCTTAGTGCCGCTTGGAACGCTATACAATAGTCTTCTGCATGGGTCACTATTGCTCTCAAGCCCTATCCGGTTCCTTCTTCATCCCCAAGGTATGGTCACCGTATCATCATTTATGTTCTATTTTCTCACTAATAAAACACAGAATTTAGTTAGGTTCGCTATTGATTTTTTTTTTTAAAGGTATATACCCCGACAGTTTGCGTACTACTTTTATATAATTTTCCATCTAATTTTCTGACCAACCAAACGAGTAATTTCACATGGTTTTGTCTCATTTAGTAAAATACTTTAATTCAGTACTCTCTTCCTTATCAATGTATAACATACAGTACAATTTTTTAGAATTTGCATTGAAATTTTGTTAGAGTTGCTCGCGATTCAGTACAATACAAGTTCCTCCCCAAGGATTTCATCAATCTAGGGTTTCAAGCACTTTGTCTGCGAATTCAAAAGTCCACCAAACACCTAGCTTTGTGGCAATGCAAGAAGACAGGAGTTTGAAAGTTCCGCATGTTCTGACAGTTGCTGGCTCTGATTCCGGGGCCGGTGCCGGAATTCAGGCTGATCTCAAGACTTGTGCTGCCCGCGGAGTGTACTGTTCTACCGTGATCACTGCTGTCACTGCACAAAACACCATTGGTGTTCAGGTTTGATTGCAATTTGGAGACTCGTATTATAGCAGATTCTGGTGAAAGTTTTTGGTTTTTTGTTTTTGTTTTTGTCAAAGTTTGTGTTCTGATTTGGGTTCAAAAGTTCATTTTGTTGTCAGGGTGTGAACATCGTGCCAGAGGAGTTTGTTGCGGAGCAATTGAAGTCTGTGCTATCTGATATGCATGTTGATGTTGTAAGTCAATATTACGGATTGCCATTCATGTTTCAGTTTTATGGTTTACTCTGATTTATCTTGATCTAAGAATTTTTTTTTATTTATTTATTATTATTTAAATTATTATGAGCTGAATTATATATTTTGAATCAATCATAATATTGAATCCATGAATTATGTCCTTAGCTTTGACATACTCGAGTTCCTTATGTGGTGTATTGGATCCACGAATTTACAATGTTGTCATTGTAGATAATTATAGCATATAATACTTGTTTTGAAGTTGACAAAAACTGTCTAGCAAGTTGTTGCATGGACAAGGATATGTGATCCGATTACGATCACAACACAAATTGGACATGTAAACAAGGTAAATTCCCAAAAGGCGGCAAGGACATCACACATACATATATGGTTCATGTAATTATGATCACTCTGCTCCACCAAACCGGATTATTGATTAAACATAAGACATTCATGTATATTACTTATGTTCTAAAATATAACTAACTTTGTCTTTTCAAAAAGAGGCATTGCCCCTTTCCCACCGATCATCCTCCCGTGTTAGATGCCCCTCCCATCAGGACAGAAAGTTCTCGCTACCACTTCGTGGAACAAACCAGTATATCTCGTCTGTCAACAAGTTCCAATCATCTTTGGCACACGAATTGCCTCCAGTTGAAATTGTGCAGTGCAGGGTTTTGAGCCGATGTCGCAAACTGATGTGTTTACCTCCATGAAGGACATAGGCATTTGGGACTTGCATAACCTTTTACTCACAAGGTAAAATGGACAGCTTTGTCTGTTTCAGTGCTCAAAATAGTTAAATTTAATTCATAGAAGAGAGACTCCAGTAACACCTCTCGAGCATCACCCTGTCATTATGTGAACACAAATCTGGTTCTTGGACTAGATGAGAATTTTTGATCCCTTTTTCTAACAATGGTAGGACTGAAGTTTTAAACCGATCTGGTTCAGAGTAATCACAATTGCTTTTTGGAAGGGAAGATTTTTTTCCTGACTTGTGCTTAGACATTATGAACTTGTATCTAAACAAGTTCTCCGGCACATTTGAATTATCATAAAATGAGAGAGAGAGAGAGAGAGAGAGTAATGTACTCTTCTGGAAAATTGAAGAACACCCTACTCTTCAATTTGTTATTTCAGATACATGTGTCTTTTTTTCTATCTCTGATCCTTTATATATTATCTTAATTAAAATTCCTAAAGATTCATTGCACATATTATATCGTTCTTTGGTTACTTTGCCATTTAACCTGAATTGCTTTTGACCTTTTGCTCCTAATTAAAATCATATTATTAATATTATTGTTAAAAATTCATCTAACCAATGCTGAAATCAACTTAGGTGAAAACAGGCATGCTTCCTTCAATTGGCATAGTCAAGGTCCTTCATCAGAGTCTTAAGAATTTCCCAGTTCGAGGTATGCAGTGTTTTTTATTTTCTGGTTGCAATTGTGGTGGCTTTGAGTTGACTCAAGTGATTCACTGAAGGCAGCTTTAGTGGTTGATCCTGTTATGGTATCTACAAGTGGAGATGTGCTGGCTGATTCTTCCATTCTTGTTGGATTTCGGTATGCATTTATTTGGATGCTATGTAGATTTATGGTGATTTCCATCATTGAGTTCCGTATTGTTGCATCAATTTATTTTGATCGTTTTTTTGCCACTCACTTTAAATAATAAACATCTAATGCTTTAGTATTAAGATGGTGTCTCTCCAGATTCCACTTTGCTTTAGTTCTGTGTTAAGCACCAATTACTCTACAAGCATAAGTGATTCAAAGTGGCTTTAGCTTATTTCTATGCATTTCATTTGGTTTAATCACCTGACTTGTTGAATAGTTTTTTGGGTCCAATATGACAACCACAATGTCAATCTTCCTCTATTACGGAGCAGAGCCTTTTTGTTGATCTTATATTACATCCTAAGCCTGAATAATTAATCATCTGAATGATTTCTGGAAATTAATGCAAGCAGCGTGCTTGCTTTGTTTGTTTGTTTGTGTGTGAGAGCGAGAAAGAGAGAGAGATGCACTACTCTTTTATATCTAAGCATAGAGCCGTGATAATCTCTCCAAAAGGAGATAGTACGAATCTGTGGCCGAATAAAGCTCCCCGTCTGATGCACTTGAGTATGGGTCAGTTCCTGCTCGTGTCAATACTTAAAGATGAGACATATCCATGCTTTTAAGGCCAATTTTGTTTAGCAACCTTCATTAGAAGGTTCATTAAGCAAAAAGCCTAGTTGGTTTACATACTTCTTTTGGGTTGGGTAGGGTGTGATTAAGGTACTTTATCTAATGATATTTCTCTAATTATTATTTCTTATCTTTAATCCATTTTACTTGCTCAAGAATCATGTTTTCATTGTTTATTTGGTTCCTGAATATAGGGAGGAGCTTCTTCACATGGCTGACATAGTAACTCCAAATTTAAAAGAGGCATCTGCTTTGCTTGGTGGTGTGCAATTGGAAACTGTTGCTGACATGCGTTCTGCTGCAAAATGTATACATGATATGGGCCCAAGGTTAATTCTTGCAAAATCCGGCGGAACTCTTTAGCTTTTTGATAATTATGCATACCTTCACAAAGCTACTGAAACTGTATTCTACAACTCTCTGCCACAAGTGGGAAAATTACACATTGACCTGACCTCCTATGGTTTGTGGTCACTTCACTTTTCCTTGAATGTATGGCTGTGAGTCACGTGATATTGTACCATTCTGATCATTCTTGAAGTGTTTACATGAGTCCTTCCTCACTGGATCACCATTTCCTGTTGCATCTACTTTTTCTTTTTGGTCCTTCTGCTATTTTCTGCATACTCCAGGTGTACTTAAGGATGTTCCATTTACTTTCGTAATGAAAATTACTTTTAGAATAACTAAGAGGAAGAAGAAGAATAAAATGAACTGTAACATATTGTTGATATTGCTTTCAGAAATGTACTTGTCAAAGGAGGTCACCTCCCTGCTTCATTGGATGCTGTTGATGTTTTCTTTGATGGTATGTTCTACATATTCTATAGAATCTTTGAGCAGTAATAGAATTTTTGCTACCTGCCCTTAGGTGTGAGCATGTGTATGCGCTCGCTTGTGCATAGGTTAATTTATTCTCTGATTTATTCTTGTAGGTGAAAATTTGTTTGAGCTATGTTCATCACGAATAGAAACTCGGAATACTCATGGTACTGGTTGCAGTTTAGCTTCATGTATAGCAGCTGAGCTAGCAAAAGGTTCTCCAATGCTAACTGCTGTCAAGGTAATGAATTATTTGCTTTTATTTCTGAGCCCCAAAAAGTTTCTAATAGTTTAGTGGCTTGAAATTTCAGAAAAGTAAGACCTAAATCTCAGTATTTGGCTGTTAATAATGATATAAACAGTGGGACTGCTTTTAATTGAGTCTCACAGTTGATGATAGACCTGAATCATATCCAATAGGCTTGGTTTATTAGGCTTCTCTTTTCTTATCCTCAATTGGCTTAGAGGGCCTGCCATTCTTGATAGTACAAAATCAACAGGATGCAAGGAAATATTATACAAATGCATATAATCTAGAATGACAATGTTGTGATGGATGAGTTGCAAGAGAAGAACAGGATGGATACGGATGCATTCATGCAATAGATGTACAGAGTAATATGGTATGATTAAATGCTTTGACCATATTACATGGCCTACGATTGAGCTGCTACAAGATCTAGGGGAATGAAGATAAAGAGAACGGAAAGGAAAAAAAAAAGACATTAACTCAACGGGAGGTTTTGAGAAAATAAGTGGTCTATACTTCGAAAGATGTTAAGACCCTTGACAGGGTATAAATGAAAAGGATATTTAGTGTATCTTGGAAACTGGCATTCATTTTGTGATAGTTGCCAGTATCCATTATATGAAAATTACAAGGTTCATATCTTGATAGAAGCAAAATTTCAACTACTATGCTTACAATTAATTTTTTTCTAAATTTTCCCGGCATTAACTTCATTTTCTTTTCTGTTCCCTCCACCCTGTGACTGGAGCATCTTTAATTTTTAGTTTATGTGAGTTTATATGATTCTTGGCAGGTAGCGAAACGTTATGTTGAGACAGCCTTGGACAACAGCAAAGACATTGTCATTGGAAATGGACTTCAGGGTCCTTTTGACCATCTATTTAAGCTCAAGAGTAATATCCATAATTCATGTAGGCAGAGGGCATTTGATCCATGTGATCTCTTTTTGTACGCTGTTACTGATTCTGGGATGAATAAGAAGTGGGAACGTTCCATCACAGATGCTGTGAAAGCTGCAATAGAAGGCGGTGCCACAATTGTACAGCTAAGGTATATATACATATATTTAAAAAAATTGTTTGTATGCATAACAGAGTTTCTATGTGGTGTAGGCTCTTGCATTTAGTTCTATACATACTCAATGGTCAGCAGAGGTGCTTGTTTGAGTTATAATATTAATCTAATATATTGCATGCCAATATTTAATAAGGCTGTCTAAAATTCATTTTAATGTGCTGACGGTTTATTATGTCATTTACAAAGCATTTTTATTTATTTTCCGAAGAAAAATTCCAAATATTCACATAGTGCGTGTTATGAATAAATTAGCTACCTTTCATATAGTTTACTACTTATTGGTTTCTTTTTGTTGTTTACGTGAACTATATGTAAATACTTCTATTCTTAAACTCCTTTTGTAGAAGTAGTTGTATATATGATGTGTTCTTTTAGTTCTATCTTTCACAGGGTTATGCCATAACATTTCAACTTCAGTTTTACTTTTTGTATGGTGGTGGAAGATGTTTGGAGCCGACCTCATCATAATTGTGAAACTGGAACTAAAGAACTGCACTGCTGAAAAAGCATCTAGTCCCCTTTATAAACAACTAGTGATATATCTTTTTTTACCAGAGTTGGAGTTAGCAATCTGAGATTCATAAGCTCCCAAGTATTCTCCACATTTTCTTCCCTCATTTGAAATTTAACAGCGAAGGGAGATGGAAGGAAAGAAATCTGGGGGGTAGGGGTGATGCGCAAGTAACACCATGCAAGAAACACTAGAAATGAAGGTTGTGAACGCCAAGCACAAAGCTTGAACTAATATTAGAGCAAAAACCATGCTGCCACCTCATGATGTTCCATATATCAAAGCCTACATCTCCTCAACAAAGGAGTCTCCAGAGACAGTTTACCTACATGAACTTCTATACTTTTACCAAAATATCTTTCTGTCCGAATTTTATGCTCTTCAATAAACTTTCCTGTATCAGCTCATTTACTGCCAGCCTGTTGCTTCGCATAGATTGATTTTTCAGAAATTATTTATGAATTTATTATGCCTTTTCTGCTTGAAAGCAAAATATTCCAAGTAGACCAGTGTGTTGCCTTTGTCAAAACGCACAGTTGATAGTCGTTAAGAGTTAAAGAGTGTTTAGTATTTTCCTTGTTTACTTTGGGGTTAATTGTAATTTTCTTTTCTCAATATATATATATAGAAGAGGTGGTGTAGAAACCCTACAACCATCAAATTACATTCCTTATTTTTCTTCTTCTCCTCCTCTTCTTCTCTTCCTTAAACCCTAAAACACATACACAGATTCTAACTTGGTACTGGGTAGAAGAGCCAAAGGTCTCGAGTTCGAACCTCACCATCACCCTAGTAATTAAAATTGAAACACGTGTTGGACCAAAAAGAAGGCCACACGTGAGAGGGCGTGTTGAAAGATTTAAATATTTAAGTTACACCCTCTCTAACAGCTTAAGCTTTTGGAGTATATGGTTGTTAATTTGGAAATATCCTTCATTATGGAGTAGCTGTACTCAGTGACAGCAAACTTGAGATTATCATTGCTAGGTCTGACGGTTGAATTTCAATCTAGATTTCTGGAGGTAGCAAAAGATGTTCTCTAATTTAGTCCCCAAGGATATTCCTTTTCTAAGGCTTTGATTTGCTGCTCTTCCAATTAATTTATCAAATTTTGTTTTAAAGAATGAGGCTCTGTTACATTTGTAACATTTCCTGCAGCTTCTATGAATTGGAAGTAGGTGTAGTGCTAAATCCACCTGATGTTTTGAGGGTCCATGTAGCATTTAGCAAACATTGGGCGACATAGGCCTGCCTTTCAAAGAAATCCATGTCATCTTTTGTCTACTTCGGAAGATTTCATGACCTGTTCCTATATTTATTCATGGGGTAAAATGCAAAAAAACCCCCTGAACTATTGAAGAATCAGCAATTAACCCCCTAAACTACTAAAGTTGCAACTAACCCCCTGAGCTATACATTTTTGTTGCATATTGCCCCTTCCGGCAAACTTCTGTTCCAAAGTTGCCATCAAACGACCATGTGACTGTCACGTGACCCTCAATATTTAATTTAATGACTATAATTCCCTTATAAGCATGAAAAGACTTTAATGCCCCTTATTGTGCCCATTACACACCCAAACAAGCCTTTTTTTTTTTTTTTGCCACAAACCCAAACACACCCTTATACACCTGTTATTCACACAAACACACCTTCAGTTCTGTCTACACACACACACACATTTATATAATACGAGTATATATATATATATTACTGTTCATCTTCACATCGGATAAAAAAAAAAAATCTGGTTGACCACGCCCTAAACGTCTCTCTCTCCTCTTCTCTTTCTGTCTATATATATATATAGCTTGTTAATTCTTCAATTAAAGATTGTCCGGACCAGAATTTTCAGAGGAAATGTTTGCCGGAGAAGAAACACGAAACAACCCTATTGTGAGTGGGAAAGTGCAACCAACCCAAAATTTGGGTCTTCTTCCCAAATGCTAGTACTATTCTGCAACTTTTCCGCCAAACCCTAGCCCTTCCTCCTTCAAATCGGGCCACCAATATACCTTCAAACTAACTCAATTCATAGGGCTTTGAGAATACAATCCCTAATCTTGAATCCACACCATAACCCGAAAAAGAAAAAAAAAAACCCACACTCTCGGCTATGGTGTGGATTCATCACAGATAAAGTCACATCGCCGATAAAGTCTCCACCGTCGAGCCGTCTACCACCACGATTCCAATCTCTCTTGAAATTGTTAGGTCGCAAATTTGGGAAATTTGGCAGGTGGTGCGAAGGAGTAGTGGGCAGAGAGAGTGGTGGTGGTATGAGAGGGTCATTTCGGGCATTCAGGTGGTGGTGGTGTTGTTATGGTTCCCATGTTTGATTGGTGGTTGTGGTTGAGCTTGGAGGTAAAGAAGAAGAAGAAGCAGCTGCAGATGGTGGTTGTGCTTGTTATTTTTTTTTCTTCAAGTTCTTGGCTGATTGATATATATAGAGAGAGAGAATTGGTGATTGATCTGGTTTAGGCTTTTGATTAATTGACTCAGGAAATTCATAGCAGACATGAATCAAGAAATTCATATAGATAGAGAGAGAATTGATACGCGTAAACCAGAGGCTTAAACCCATAAATTACCATGTGGAGGATTGACGGTATAATCAATTAGGTGATGTTTTGGTTTGTTTGATGCAAAGGAGTTTAAGACAAAGTGATAAAGGTTACATATATGCTGTCATAGTGTTATTAGTCAATGAGATTATACCTTTCCAAGTCATCCCCCCAACTCAAAGACTCCAAAACTATGTAGTTTTAGTAAGGGTAAATGAGTCTTTTTGTTTTTCCAGCCAACTCTCCTGCCGGATTGTCCTTAAATGTAACAAATTGATAGTTCAGGGGCTTTTTTTGTAGCTCACGGGGTTTGTTGCAACATGCCAATAGTTCGGGGTTTTTTTTTTTTTTTTTTCACCTAATATTTTTCTAAAAAAGGAGTTTAAGCATGCCAAAATTGTTTAGTTTTTTTATAAAAAAAAACACTAGGAGCTTTTATAGGTTGTATCAGTTGTCCAATGGTGAATACAGAGGTTCCACAAGGTAATTAGTTCAGTTTATGTGGCCTAGGGAACCATAACAAGCAGTATCATACTCATCAACTTATCAAACCATTTCCCCAAATATTTGGCATCGGATACAGAACCCTGTTTCACATTCTGCTACAAGGCCCACACGCTCTTGTCACACTTGTACCAAATCTTATACCTAGGGAGATTTTCCCTTTTGTTTGTATGTACGCACTACTTAATTTTACACCAAATGTCTGTTCTGAAACATCTATATATTTATTTTTTATTTCTTTTAATGTTTGTTACTAGTTCTTATATTTGTACCTCTGAATCAGAAGTCTCCATTTTTTCCCTCTTTATCTTTTTTATTTTTCCAAATAGATAGACCATCCCCTAGCTTAGCATCAAAGACTAGAAGCTTTAGATGACATGGAGCTTAAACAAGTATTAGAGAGCTGCCAGTAATTAGCAACTAATATGCATTTTTATTTAAAACTGTAAAATTCTTAAAAGGATCTAGCTTCTTTCAATTAAGACAGGTCTAGTAAGTTATGGTAGCTAGCTTAGTGCTCATCATCCCAACATGAGAAGGAAGAGTTAGACCCTCCTCCTAGTGGGCTGGGCTGTTCAATGAATCAGCTAGCCAAAATTCAGCCCGATAGATGAGTTTTATTTCCCCACCTTACTGCTATTTTTGACATTTTATGCCTTTTTTCTTTCCTTCAAAATTGTTGTAATATAGAGTATGAATGGGATGCTGAAACTTACATGGTCAAACCCAGTTGTTGTTCAGTTACTCAAATATGCAGGTCATATGCAAGGGTAGGGCCCTAATACTATTTTGTTACTGATTTGGCAGTAACAGAAAGTAACTGGACCTAGATTTCTGCATAAAAGTTAGAACATTATTAAGTTATTTAGTATTAGTTGATTTGGGGAAGATGATTCTATATGGGGGAAAAAACGTACCATACATGCTTAAGAAGAGTTGTGCATAGAAGAACTTGGTTTTGAAAATGCTGTCAATGCATTATGAGAGTCCCATTTACGTACAATTGTTTCTTCTGTTTATGTGGACAGTTTCCTCACAACTTTAGTACAAATATCTGGTCAAATCTCCTCCGTAATTAATCAGTATACAACACACTGGGAGATTTCCAAGAGCTTTTCGAGTTAATGAATAGTTAGAATCTTAGCTTGACCTGTGTCATACGCATCTATTGGTGTTAACTGTTCCATTCTCATGTTTAAAGGGAAAAGGATGCTGAAACACGGGACTTTCTGGAAGCAGCCAAAGCATGTTTGGAAATTTGTCGTTCCCGCAGTGTACCTCTGCTGATAAATGACAGAATTGACGTTGCCATGGCTTGTAATGCTGACGGCGTGCATGTTGGCCAGTCTGACTTGCCTGTCCATGTTGTCCGCTCTCTTCTTGGGCCTGAAAAGATCATTGGTGTATCATGCAAGACAACGGAGCAAGCTCAACAAGCTTGGACTGATGGCGCTGATTACATTGGTTGTGGGGGTGTATTTCCAACCAATACAAAAGCAAACAATCGAACCGTTGGTTTAGAAGGATTAAGAAGTGTTTGTTTGGCATCAAAGTTGCCAGTGGTTGCCATAGGTGGTATCGGGATTTCAAATGCACGGTCTGTAATGGAAATAGACGTCCCAAATCTCAAAGGTGTTGCAGTTGTGTCAGCTCTGTTTGATAGGGAATGTGTCCTGACGGAGACTCGGAAGTTGCATTCAATACTGATGGAGACAGCCCCAATGGAAAATAAAAGGAAGGAGGAGAGAAGTTGTTAACGGTGACCTTGTTAAAGCCAATAAAACTACGTAATAATGGTATTAGAAGTGGTAATAGTAGGAGTCTTTGTTTTAATTTATTTGTGGTCAAGCTATGCAGGATTGATGTTTTAGCTTTGGATGCAAATGAACTATATGTTATTTAACTTTTCTTTACTTCCTTGGACTGTGTCAATTTGCCATAAGCATGTAGTTTGATATTGTGATTAAATTTAAAGGAACTGGATGTTGTGGTGGCTATCAAACAATGACAGTAAACAACAGCATAAACCAACAAATGGAGTCTAAAATAAACTCTCATTATTTGCCAAAAGAATAAACCTTCATACAAATAGATACGTGGAGCTTCAAATTACAATCTTTAATACAACCTAGCTAGCTAATCAAGTCAAGTTGGTTGGCATCTCGAAACGACAAACTGGCAGATGTGATTCGTGTTGAGCGGTTTCAAGACAAATGGTGCATAGATTATCACGAGAACACTTTAGTATCACACTATGCCCAGGCACCGAACTCATAAGACCAAACCTCGACAAAGAGACAGGAGGTGACGAAACATGGTGAATCCTTCACTGTGCGGACTCCTGCTAGAGACAAAGCGGACAAAGCGATCGAAGTATCTGCGTGCCCAGTCGGCGGATTCTAGCCATGAGTCGGCATGTTGTGCCTAATCCGTGGATATTATTATTATTATTTTTTTATTTAAGTTGGGTATTCACACTCACGTATTTTCACCGAAGCTCGAACTTGACCTCTCTTTAAAAAGAAAAGAAGGGCTTCTACTGCTAGACCACTCGCCTGTGAGTCATCCTTGTCTCCTTTAAAATACCATATTCAACACAGAAAATTGCACAAAACTGAAAGGGATTTATCAATGTAAGGAATTAGGGCGGCGGTGATCGATTTAAAGGGAAGGGATCGCTGAATTCTGGAATTAGGTTTCTAATGGCTCTATAAGGCGGCAGTGATCGATTTAAAGGTAATCAAATTAAAATTAGTAATTGCAATCAAAAGTTAAAAAGATTTCTGAAAGGGATCGATGATGTAAGTATAAAAGGGGCGGCGGTGATCGATTTAAAGGGAAGGGATCGCTGAATTCTGGAACGGCTATATAAAGGGAAGGGATCGCTGAATTCTGTAAATCTGGAATTAGGTTTGTAAGTTCCAAAATAAAATTTAATTATATATTTTTTTTTTTATTTTTTTTTTCAAAAATGAGATTTTAAGTTGGATCTTTGAAAGGAATATGGGACATTTTTAGTCGGGCCCTTAATTTTGACAGTCCTAAAATATAAAAATTATTTTAGGGGCTTCTTTTTCCAATACTACTAACTTGCACTTATGTATAACAAGTTTGTTTATGAGCTAACATATGAATAGTTGAATTCATTTACAGTCTTATTTTTTATTTTACTTTTTAAAACTCAAATATTGTAAAAGAAAATTTTCACAATATATACACAGCAATATGATTTTTTTTTGAAATATATATATATATATATATGGATATGACATGAATATGTCAAATAATATAAATAATAATTTTTGCTCAATATTTATATAACTGTGAACCAAATTCACTAATTTGGAACTAAGAGTTCAATATTTGTTATTTTTCTATTTATAAATTTTATGCTATATTTTTAATCAATCCATAATATATTTTAAATTATATTGAATCTCAATTTTTTTTTTTAAATAATAATAATTACAAAATCACCTTATTTGTTTTGTAAAAGTGTTTAAACATATTTTTGATGTGTCCCAAGTGCCAATCATATCCAACCAAGAAAATAATATATTTATTTTAGGATACTTTTATATGTTTTCGACACGTGTTCGGATCATATATGTGTATTTGATACCATCATGACACACCCCAGGGTGAAGTACCTGTGCTTCCTAAGTTAAGAGAAAATGTGGCGCTTGACTCTTCTTCATCTGCATCCGGTCACATCTAAAGAGCAAGGGCTTTCATGTCCGTTGAAAAACCTAGTGGGTGGAGTTACGAGGTCTAGGAGGTGGACAAAGACAATCAAGTGGAATTTCCGATCTAATCACAGATCGTCGAGCTTCATATTGAAATTTAAAGATGAAGATGATACGATACTATGGAAAGTCTCAAATTAACTGTTTGACGTTGGTGGATTGTTATGAATTTACATATTTATCCTTAAGAATTAAACCATTTATTTTATGAAAAAATCTAAAAAGGGTTGTGTATTGATAAGTTACATTTTTGCTCTTCTAGAAAAATATATAGTTTGGACTCCTTTCTCTTTCTTTCCCCTCTTATATATATATATATATATATATATATATATATATATATATATAGGGATACACATATATACATATATAACTCGCCACCATTGAGACACTCTCTCTTAAACCACCTTTTGATTTGATACAAATATTTGTGGATATATGTATTTGTATATAACTCGCCACCATTGAGACACTCTCTCTTAAACCACCTTTTGATTTGATACAAATATTTGTGGATATATGTATTTGCATATATATATATAGGGCTAAAAACACAAAACCCCCTATTGTTTATAAAAACTACATATAATTCCCTCTATTATTAAAAAAATTCCTGAACTAACATAAACTATCACGTTATCCCATTTTCGTGACAGAACAGTTAAATTATTGCGAAATAACAATAATACCCTTGATAGTATATTAATATTTTATTAAACTGAAATTGTTGATTTCAAATGACAATTATGCCTTCCATGTCTACACTCGCACATGTGTCAATAGCCTATTGGCTACTGACTTTAACTTTCTTTTTTCTTTTTTTCTTTTCAATTAGGCTCTCTCTCTCTCTCTAACAGTAATGAAGCCTCTGGGCTACAGATTTAACAACTAAAAATTCTAATGTGAAATTCCAACAGAAAAATTCATTCACAAGTGAACTTTTTAATGAATTCCCTTGACATACATACAGAATTGGAGTTTTCATTCTCTGGATCTTTCAATGGAAATTATAACTTGAAATTCTACTTTGGATTGTGCTTTTGATGTAGTGGCTGATTCTAATGCTTGTGATGCTTTGACCGTGCACTTTGCTAATTGATAATTTCCATGGTAGATATAGGGCTTTGTTTGTTTGATTTGCTCCACTGTTTCGATCCCTTCTGGTCTTATTAAACCCACTCATTGATCTCTTGGCCCCAACCATTTTAACTGGTTAAAATCTTGACCATTGTGTTTTATATGAAAATTGGAATTTCATGTCGTTTTGGGTCAAATTGAAATTGCATGTTGTTCTCTGTCAAATTGAAATTGGAATTTCATGTTCTTAAAAACAATAATCTTTAAATGATGTGTATCCCCCATTTTCAGAAGTTTAATCTAATTAGTGTTTTAAACATTTTATTAATTATGAAATCCGAGTCTCTCTCTCTCTCTATATGTATATTTATATATATCTGTACGTGTTGAGAGGTTTTCATTTATAATATGATTGGACATGCTCTTGTGCCTTTTCTTGTTATTTCTCCCCCTCCCCTCAGTATTCCATCACATTCTTCTGAAGGTTTGAAACAACAGCCACAAGTTTTGTGCATATATTGAGCGATATAGAGAGAGAAAAAAAGAAATAGTTTTAGAGAGAGAAAGTGAGTATATCCATACATTTGTTTTTAGGGTTAATTCCACCTACACCTCTTGACGTTTGCCTATATTCCACCTACACCCCTTCTACATTTCATAATTCCACCTGCCACCCCTCTTAGTAACGGCCGTTTCTTTTACTAACAGAGATATGTGATTTTACGATATTGCCCATAATTATATATTAATATTTATATAAAAATTTGTAATTTAAATAAAAAGACTAAAACACCCTAATCCTCTCAATATACCACATTACATATGAACCCAGAAAGTTGAGACCCATCAAGCCATGAACTATGACCCGATTGAGGCTCATGACAACCGCGACCAGTTCCTACCATTGGTCTATTTTGAGTGAGGTTTATAGAGAGATAGAAGGTGGGTTTAGGAATTGGGACCCATTAACAAAAATTAGTTCTTCTATTTCAAGTGAACTTCGACGAAATCTTGCGGCGTCGATGTAGCGTCGAGTTCCAGTGGTGATGGTGCTGCCGTCTTTGATTACTCCTCGACGGCGTCACAATCGATGTCTCTCGGCGGCGAGACGTCGGATTACAGTTTCGATTGCATCACAATGATGTCTTTTAGCAGCGGGATGTGGGATTACTCCTAACAAAGTTGCAATCGATGTCTCTCGGCGACGAGATGTCGGATTACAGCATCGATGGCATCATAATGATGTCTCTTGGCCGCGGGATGTCGGATTATAGCCTTTATGGTGTTGCAATCGATGTCTCTTGGTGGCGGGACGTCGGATTATAGGCTTACAACCTTGACGGCGTTGCAATCGGCGGCGAATATCCGTGTCTAGTACTCCGTCGGGAGGGCCGGCTTACGCATCTGCGTCTCGTGCTCCGTCAGGAGGGTCTGTGATGTGTGCCTGTGTGTGGGAGGAAGACTATATATATATATGGGAGTTAACAAAGGCTAGTTTTGTAATTATGTATTGGTCAACGAGGATAAAGATGTCATTTTAGATATTAGAAGGGTAAAATTGACCTTCTAACAAATTTATCATGTTGACATCAGCACACAGCATTAGTTGCTTAACGGCAGGGGGTATTTTGCTATGTAAATCAAAACCTCAGGGGGTGTAGGTGGAATTTTGAAACATAGAGGGGGTGTGAGTGAAATATTAACAAAGTTCAAGGAGTGTAGGTGGAATTAATCTTTTTTTTTAACTTTCGAAAAAATATATATATGTATATATATATATATATATATATTCTTAAACAAAGAATAAAATTATATTAATTTACACAATAACACACTCAATTATATGTCCCCACTTCCAGTTTGCTCATCAATAGATTCATCAGCACCAGTTAAAGAGCTTCTAATGAAGAAGATCCAAGAGCTCGAAGCCGGATATGCCCACCTCAAACAAGAGATTTCAAAGCCCATGACTTCCAATGAAAAAAAATGGGACCAAATTCAACAACAGCAACACAAACACATGACAAGTCGTTCTTGGAATCAATAGACGCTATGGTCACCAGAATCCATGGAGCACACGTGCAAGTATAAGAA